AGAAATAAAATTCTGCGTTTTAGAGACTAATACTAACAGTAGAGTTCTATTTAATGTCTGCTAAACCTCTGACTGTGCTACTGAGAAAACATTTCGGAGCCAAGTGTTCTTCAGTTTGAGTCAAAACATTATGACTCGACAATATCTTTTGTTCAATTCATTTTTTTTTCTTGAATAAAATGGCTTGTACCTTCAAAGCATTTGGGGATGTTTAGCGTTCCATCGATGCACTGGGTCGGCACGGCATAACCACATTTCCTGGCTTCATTCATGCAGTAGACAGAGACGATCTCAAGGTGTAAGACACGGTTCGGCTGGAAGTTTTCAATCCAGATTTTCTTCCCGTTGTGCAAAATTCTAGCTCTTTGTAAGTTAACAGAACAGGGAGCTGAAGGGGAGGGGGGGGAGGGGGAGTACAGCATTTTAAAAAAAACATTTGGTAAAAATAAACATTGATCATCTTTGTGTTATTAATTGATGAGCACAGAATATTTATGTTATGTTTAAAAAAAAAGTGCTAAGCCAAGTTTTAAGATAAAATCAAATTGGAAATATGGCTAAATTTATGATTGCAGAAAAGATGCAAACTCAAACGAAACCTGATTAGACTGAAAAAAACAACAGCTATTTTTAATTCTGCACATTTGGATTTTAATGTTTTATATTTTGTGATTCCCTACAGAATTACCTTTGCAAGACGGCTTTTCGGACCACTTTCCATTCTCCTGACAGACCACCTCCACATTTCCTTCCAGCACGTACGGACTCTCGCAGCCGTACTTGACTCTTTCCCTGTAGAAAAACTCCCTCTTCTCGTTGTTTGACATGTAGCCTCTTTCAATGCTCTCTGGCGGAGGGCAGGTCACCACTGTGAGGAAACACATTCGTTTACTCTTACTTTTTCCTTTTATTTGCCAGGAAAATGGAAATAAACTTTCATAAACTTTTTAATATAGTTGGGTTGTACTAAAATCAACCAAGCTGAGCCATATTTTTCTGCCTTCTCCTACCTTGACACTCTGGTGTCTTGGTCCAGGTACCGCTGGCGGTGCACTCTGCAACCGGGTTGCCGAAAAGTGCGTATGGGGGATTGCAGATATACGTCGCCTTGAGGCCGTAATTGACCGTGTTTCCTCTGATCACCTTGTCGTAAATGACCATTCCGTACAGTGGGACTGGGGCGAGACCACAGGGAATAGCTACCAAGACAAAAACAACAACAACAAAAAACCCCATCAGTTTCAATTTTTTCCATCTTTTGAATAAAACATTTAAAATAATTTTAATATGGATATACAGTTGAAATCTATGTAAAAAAAAAAAAAAAAAAAGGTGAATCACACTTCAGGGTTGTGGGTGCATTAGTGGCTCTTTAGGCTCTAAACCTGTCCTTGTAGCAAATTTGTTGGGTAATTTGCAAAGATAATGACGGCCATTTTGAAAAATATCACAGGAGGGCTTTTTTTGTTGTGAGATACTTATTCACCTTGCTCTCAGCTGTGTTCGTTTGCTGTCGCTGAAGGTATTTATTGGGACCAAGTCTGTGTAATATCACAATAACTGTTTTTATAAATAAGATAAAAGCAATTAAATTCCTTAGACATGCTGTACCTTGTCTCTTCTTTTAACTACAGTCCTAACGGTTACATTGATGTCTGTTGTGTGAGAGTGATAGGGGAGCGATAGTGCATTTGTTTGGTTGTAAATGGAGAACATTTACAAATTTGGTTCACATATTCCGAAATTTTACTCCGTTCTGGAGAAATGTCTGTTTGAGACACACTGATTATTACACAAAGCTAACCTCTTGTGTGTGTGTGTTTTTTTTTAGATGAACCTTTTCAGTATTCAGTTAAAATTCTTTGCGGATTTGTTCAAAATCTTCAGACATGTCCCAAATTCTACTGATTTAATGCTAAAAAATGAGCATATGTTGCTTTCCCACCCCATTAATTTAAAAACACCTCAAAGAAAGACCTACAGTAAAATACTGTAGTTTATTTTCTGTATTCAAATCCTCACCACACCCCATAAATGCATTAGATGAAGTGAAATGACTTTAAATAATTACATACGTATGCACTCTGGTGCAGGTGAACTCCATGTCCCGTTGGCTTGGCACACTGCTGAACTCTCTCCAGTCATCATATATCTGTTCAACATGATATTTAATCAACAGCGTAAAGGTATTTTTTTTAAACCCAGCTTTTCTATGTACAGTTTATAATATACAATATAGATTATTTGCACACACACAACATAAAACGTGTTTTCTTTTTGTTTACCCTTCATGGCAGGTGTAGTTGATTGCGCTCTGGTACACTGTGTCCTCGTAAAACAGTTCACCATTAGTGATTAGTTCAGGATGTGGACATTGTTTTGCTGCGGGAGAAAATATGAAAGGAAGTTTGTTCTACTTAGCTGTTATTTATTATTGATGCAAACAGTTAAATGTGAGTTTAGTCACTTAAGGCATGAAATTGTGCAATTCATAATAAAGTTACAAGTATTGCCTTACAATCCTGTTTGTATGCTGAACCCATTCTAATATTTCAACTTTCCCACGTTTTGTCACATTACAAGCACAGACTGCTATGATTTTATTGGGATTTTATGTGAGCTAAAATAGCACAAATATTTAAGTGGCTTAGATCAAAGCATGCTGATTTCTTAGAGTGGCCTAGTCAAAGTCCAGACCTAAATCTTATTGATAATCTGCGGCAAGACTTGATGAAATGATGACCACATAGATTAATCACTGAATCTGTCTTAACCTGAGTTACTCTTGTAGTAAATACAATAAAATAAAGTGTAAAATTGTTAGACAAATCTTGGTCCAAAACACTAAATTTCTGGGTTTTGACACGACAACATGAGAAAAAGGAGTTTGAACATGTTTCTTCAAAGTACTCTATGTAAATATTTCATTTTTTTCCTTGACATTTTCAAACTTGCAGTTCTTAATTTGCATATGTCCAAGTGAAAACTCTTGAGTATACTAAAACTATTGAATATTTTATCTGTTTACGTCAAAATCTCTGTGAATTTTATTTCACTGGTAATTGCAAGAATTATTGCTAGACATTTCTGCCATAATTAATAGAAAGAAAATAAGACACGCACGTATGCACTTCAGCTTGGTGCTTGTCCACACGCCGTTGATGGTGCAAACAATCTTGCGTGGGCCCGACACAGGAGTATATCCCTCTTTACAAGCCAGGGCTAACTCCTCCCCGGGACTGGAGAACCTCTGGATCCCAGACATCTCAATGTTCCCGCTCAGTTCGGGTCGGGAACAAACTGGAATTAGTCAATAATTTCAATGAAAGTTGCGGATATACCGTATATAAGAGCTTTACAGATGTCCAAAACTCTCTACATACAAGCAACATTAAATGTTATGCCACACTTTTCTGTTTTGACAGAACAAGTGTTCTGTCAAAACACTTGTTTTGACTAAGAGTTTGACTAAAGCAGTGTTGAGAAATATAGTCATCGATCAACACAAGCAATGAAATGTTTCTCCATAAGTCCATAGCAAAAGTTGAAATCCTTAAAACAAACTCAGGTAACTTTTCATTCTAGGACGTGTGAAATGAAAAGCAGTCATACCATTATGTTGGGATGTCACTGTCGTCACAAGCAGACCAGAGCACAGCAGAAACAAACGCTCCATCTTCTGTAGAGACGGACGGACAGTCTCCTTCTCTCCTGCAGTCTGCCTTCGGCTTCGGGTGCGGACTCTTTGCCCCACTTTCAGCTGTTTGTGTTTCTCTCAGGGTAAACAGACAAGAGCAGCGTGAAGCAACTCCTTCAATAAGAGTTTGGAATCCTTTCAAATGTTTCCGGGAAGTCACAAAAAACAAACAAATAATAATAAAAAAATACCCAGATGTTGAAATTCCAACACAAAAAAAATCAAGTTTTTTTCCCACCTTCTGTATTTGTGGGGTTTCTTTTTTCCCTCCTTGTAACTTTTCCATGTCAGACTGATGTAAAATTGTGAATTGAATTTAAAGTCAAAAGCTCTGACCACCGTTTCATATATATATATATATATATATTTGTATTTGTGTGTGTGTTTATATGGTCGCGCCACCTAGTGGTGAAGCTAAGAACTAAATACAGTTTGAACATTTTAGTCTTCATTTTCAAAATTTTTCCATGATTCACTTGTTTTAATCTCATATACAGTCATCTCCTGTGAACGCTTTTAAATATCTATACATTGGAACGGTAATTTTGCTTGTTTAGTCAAACATTTATTTTATTGTTCTTGTGCCAGCAAACATAGTACGTCGTGAAAAAAAGAGTGAGAAAAAAATGTGTAAGAAATAGATGAGGTCTTTTATCAAACATTTATTGCTTTTTGTAGTTCTTTGTTGCTTTAAATACACGTACTGATGAGGGAATTGGTGACATTTTGCTACGTTAGTGCCATATTTTGAAATAATTAAATATATAATCATTCAAAAACATCAGTAGATAAAATGAATAAAATTAACATATTGTCTCTGTGTTACCCTGTGATAGACTGGCAACCTGTCCAGGGTGTACCCTGCCTCTCACCCAGAACATTAGCTGGAGAGGCACCAGCAACCCTCCCAACCCCACTGAGGGACAAGGGTGTAAAGAAAATGGATGAATGGGAACTTTTGTGAATTTTTCGGCCAAACGTATCAGTGCATATCACCTGGTGGACGGGTGCAGGAACTGCGCAAGAGCATCTGCAATGGCTAGCGGGCGGTGTCACCAGAGCTCCTGCGGTTGCCAGGAGGCCGGAGCATCGCTGAGCTGCCAGGGCCGTTTGAGGCTGCTTGGAGCTTTAATTTTGGTATGAATTTGTTTCGTTGTATGCTAATGGAAAATTGGAAATGAACTGGATTATTTGGAAATAGGCCTGTGTGTGTGCATTGAACTGAAATGTACTTTAAAACCATTTTGCATTAGATGTTCACAGCTTCCATTTCTTTCAACATTTTATTAACACATTTTCTTGGTTTGTTTTAATGATCTTGCATTTATTTATTTATTGCCAGTATAAATGAACAGAAAACCAAAGCAGGAACATCAAGAAGGCGGCCCATGTCTTCCCCAGTTCATGGCGCCGTAAGTTGCTCACGCAGGGTTTGGGGGGCTTGTTGGGTTTGCGGTGGGTGGTGCCACGCACATTCTGATTTCTGACGGAAGGTTTTTAGACCTTAGGTTGTACTCGATTTTGCCCGGTTCTATAGGTCAAAGAGAAGAAAAGCAAGACAAACACAGAAGCATTCTGCTGTTATCTAGGGGATGAAACATCACATTCCAAGAAGCTGGAATGGTTCCATTGTCAGTCAACTGGACCAGTTTTAAGTAGAGCTTGTCCAGCTGGCATTGACTCACGTTCATAGCAGTCCGGGATGGGGAGGTTTCCGTCGTTACAGGTGCTGGCCACGGGGTAGCCACACTTTTCAGCTTTGTTCTTACAATAGAAGGCAACATGCTCGCCATGGAGCACTCTGTTTGGCCTCAGGTCTTCAATCCAGATCTTTCTGCCATTGTAGAAGATGCGCCCTCTTTTGATGCCAACTTCGCAGGGAGCTAGGTTAAAAACAAACAAACAAACAAACAAACAAAAAAACAAACAAAAAAAGTAAATATTTTCACCTGACAGAGAAAACTCTAATTTTTATGAGATATATATATATATATATATATATAGCGACGACAGGCGCTTAAATTCCGTAACAATTCCAAAATCTCTCTCTCTTTCTTACTGTTTATTCAATGTCACATGCTGTTTTTATTATGTAAAGCACCTTGAAATGCCTTGCTGCTGAAATGTGCTATACAAATAAAATTTGATTGATTGATTGATGATATAAAACAACAACAACAACAACAAAAAAAACAGCATTGTTTTGCAGGTGAACGTTTTTTCAATGGCCATAGCATAGGAATCTCTTTAGAGCAGAGGTAGATAAATATAGAGTAGAGGCCTGAAGTGAGATCTAATTTTCTCATGACTCACCCCTGCAGACTGGCTTTGATGACCAGTTTCCAGTGTTTTGGCACTGGATCTCAGCCTCACCTTCCAGGGTATAAGGCTCAAGGCAGGAATACTTAACCTTCTCCTTGTAACTGTGTTGCCTCATCACGGCGAATGTGATGACGCCATTTGCTATGCGTGGCGGGATGGAGCAGCTCACATCTGTAACGACAACAACAACAACGATGATTTCATTAGAGGGGCAGTATTATGTATTTTCCAGGCCTATTGTGACATTTTATAGCACAATCAAGTGCTATTTTAAGTCAAGTTTAAAGAAATTTGAATTTATAATTTAATGCCTTGAAAATGGGCCTCTGTCTCTTTAAGAACTCCTGCTCTTTGTGAAGCTCCGCCTTCAGGAAGTCATCACAACATCACTCCTTTATGAACCCTTAAACGTTGCACTGAGAAGTAGCTGGTATAACGAGCTCAGCAGATGCGCAGCTCCACCAGGTGTTTGCTAATTGCTGGCGGCTAGTCTGAAGGAGCTCAGTGAAGCGGAAAATTGGAAACTGCAGCTCGGAGAAGGAGCTTCATCCTCAAAGGCGGGGCTAGGTCCACCCAGGCGTTTTGCACATCTGAATGGTTGCCATGGGTGATTACAATATTTCTCAAACATGTATGAAAAAATCAAAGCAACACCCCAGGTATGTTTTGGATGAGGGAATAACATTAGGACATCAAAAAAAGTTGATTTTACATAATAGTGCCGCCTATAAACAACACAATTCTGACATGTAAGTAAAGATGAAGAAAAAAATAAATCTTGCATGTAATACCATACATTCAGACGATATTCACACATCACAAGTCTGGATTTACCTCGGCAAACCGGAGGTTCGGTTGCGGAGCCATCGGCCATGCAGGAGCCTCTCTCGTAACTCGGTGCTTTGGGTGGGTTGCACTCGTACGTCCAGCCTTGTCCATAAATTGTAGACGTTCCCGTGACGGCCTTGTCATGGACAATCCTTCCCTCTCTGGGTGGCTTGGGCAGAGGACAGTTCACGCCTGTGGGATCACAATCAGAACTTGATATGGCGATGTCCATGTCAAGAATGGAAAACATAAAAATAAGTTGGAAATATTTGAAATCTGTTTGGCCTTTTGTTGCTGTGGTGTTCCTCAGGGCTCGGTCGTTGGGGCTGCTCTTTTCTTTATTGATCAATTTTGAAATATACTCATACGGGCATCAACTTTCAAGCAGGGGATTCTCAAATGTACAGACTCTTTGCAATGAGTTCAAGAAAACCAGTAGATAAACAGTGGCCGCCTATCACAAGAAACCAAATAGTTGTAGTCCATGTCTTCGAAAACATCTGTGAGTGTGTTTGCTTTAGAATCACTGACTCCAGCAGAACTTTCACACCTTTGTAAATATCCAACAAACTGTTAAATGAGGACTTCTTCACACTCTTCATACGGCAGTGGTTGTCACTTTTGTTTGTGCAACTTAACTCTACCACACTTTTTCCTGGCACTCAACTTTCCACTATTATGCTTGGATATAATTTTTTTTAATGTGAAAAAGTATTAGTTGATTCATTTGTCATTAGTCAAGTTTATTTGTGTTACACATTCCAGCCATAGGGCAGCTCAGAGTGCTTTACACCATAAAAACAATTATGAAACGAGCAATAAATGCTACATTTTGTTAAACGTCAACGTCAAAATCGTCATCAAAAATGTTGCTCAGTTTTCCACTTACTTGGAATCAGGTCACCTCTAAACAGGTAGGGGTTTTTAGCCTTGATCTAAAGGAACTCAGTTTTTCAGCAGTCATGCAGTTTTCTGGAAGTTGGTTCCAGATTTGTGGTGGATTAAAAACCGAACCCTGCTTCTCCGTTACGCTCCATATCGTTTTATAGAAACGTGTTAAACCGCTTTGTTCTATCTGGGCCTTTTTAAATGTGCAAACAAAGTGGGCAGGGTCTGGATAACTTATTTTACCTTTGCAGAGAGGAGGCGGATGACTCCAGGTGCCATCGTGTAAGCACCTGCTTTCATTAGCTCCTACCATGACGTACCTGAACAATGACAAATACGTATTCCTGCAATAATCTGCAAATCATAATTCTCCCAGAGAATTTATATATAAATGTTGATGTTCTTACCCATCATCACATGAGAAGTTGAGCACACTCTTAAAAGGAGCCTCTGTCCTGCCTTTTGCAAATGGCTGCAAAGGCCTGGGTATCTGGCACATCCTGGCTGTAGAAAAGAAGATCAGCACATCTATTAGACCTTAGCAATGAGTTGTCTTGAAAGACCATCATCAAGTTTTTTTAATTCCATCATGATTGTTTTTTGTTGATTATTACACAAAACCGCATTTGGCCTTCACCAATTCGCTTCCCGCTCGCCGTTTTTAAACTCTGCAAGATGGCAGCCGCAGGATTTAAAAAAACAGAAGCTGCGGCCTCGACTCACGGGAACATGCCAGGTTGGCCGGCGTCCATTCCCCTGTCGCCGTGCAGGTTATCCTGGGAGGCGTCGCCGTTGAAGGCGAGTAGCCCTGCTCGCACGAGAGGGTCACGTCTTCTCCGATCTCAAACACGCGCTTCATGGAGGAAACATCAACGCCATCAGAGACACGAGGCCGGCCGCAAACTGGTGGGAGAAAAAGGGAAGAAGGTGACGTCAAGCAGAAGAAGTTTAACTTAAGCCAAGGCACAAATTTGCAAATGTACCTTTTGCAGGAGCTACGGTTGTAAATACAGCCGCAAGGCTGAGAAGCAGCAAAGCGGGAGCCATCTTCTTTGGAGGTGAAATCCGCTCTGCGTTTCAACCTGCAGCCACTGGATGAGAGCCTTTTAGATTCTGACTCCAGAGATGGCCTCCTCCAATCAGATGCAACCTCAGACTGCTATTGATTAAGCCCAAAGTTCACATGCGGCGTGCACACAGAATTATTTGACTAAATGTTGATAGATAATCTCGATCTGGTGGAAGAGCAAACAGCAGACAGACAGAATTATGTGAAATCTCATCAAGTGCAAAAGAAAAATAACTCCACTGCAGAAATGGCAAACAAAAAAGGAG